CTTGCCAATGTAACTCCATTAGCTGCTGCCTAGGGCCTACCCCAAGGTGGCTGCTGTGCACCTTGATGCTGCGAACAAACTGATACAACTAAGCTCAATGGACGATTGTGCAAAAACCTAGATCTATCCGGCTTTGATGGTGAGCGCTGCTCGTGTCCGCTGCTGCTGCTCATGCTGCTACCAGTGCTTCTGCTGCTGGCTTACCATCCTCAATTTGGTGCCGAGGGATGTCGAGCGCTGGTCGTACAAGCGGGGGTAGCTGGTGCGTGGAATGGTTCCAGCTGCTGCTGTTGCTGCTGCTCTGTGGTGCAAGCTGCGACAAGTGCCTGCAGGCACTCGCAGACAGCTGCTGCAGTTCGGGCAGGGCTGCGGTCGCAACTCCGTTGCTGCATAATAGTCTGACTAAGCTGAACGCACTTTGAAGCATAATGAAGAGTCAGGCGGGTGCGACGATCACGACGCGAAGGGTGGCCAGGCTGCACTGCACAAGGGCTGGGTAAGAAGCAGGGTGTGTGACGATGACGATGTGCTGCAGCGATCAAGCACCTATCTACGAGATGGATGCACTGCCACGATATACCCCCAGTGGTGCAGTGGGTGGTGTGAATATCGGACGCCAGGCCCTGGAGGGTTGTGCCACACTGTGACAGTACTGCCTGGTCATGTCAGCAGCACAGCCGGACCCACGCTGGTTAGGATTGCTGCGTTACGTCCCCTCATCGGTGAAAGTGCTGACCGAGATCAATGTGCTGTTGCAATGCTTCTCTGTTCCAGTTATTCTTGACCAGGCAGCTGCAGTACCGTTGTATTGCCAGTCACTGGCAGTGCTGCAACCATGAGTCAGATGCGTGACTAGCGACCAAACTACACGGGCCTTGTTAACATGTACAGCTGGGTTCTCAGGAGGTCACACCCAAAAGCACACTATTGCATGATGACACAGAATGCCAGGGTGTTGAGTTGGCACCAGTGTTGATCCTGAGCAGGTTGACAGCGCAGCTCAGCGTGTATCAACAGCACTACTGTTGGCAACAGTAGCACACACAGCTGAGGGCCGCACAACTGGCCTACTAGAAGGGCCAAGGTGCTGCTGCGCTCATGCTGTATGCTGCTGCATCCAGCGCAGTGGTACCACAGCACGCAGCAGCGCGGCTGAAACCCTACTCTAGATAGATCTGCTTCTAGACAGATCTACATATGCTGCAGCACTGTTGCTGCATCCAGCGCAGTGATACCACAGCACGCAGCAGCGCGGCTGAAACCCTGCTCCACATATATGTTGCAGCACAGCCTACACTGAAATGCCACAGCCACTGAACCCCATATCGGGCACAGCCAATCTGCAGACGACTTGCCACAACTAAAGCTCTGCCTCCGCACTTCACACTGCACACAGACCAAATTGATCGCACGGACCCAACTTGTGTGTCATTTTGTGACCTGAGTCAGCAATGCCACATCAGCTGTCCAAAGATTGGTGCTTTAGTTTGAAACCCCTAAACCCTGAACCCTAAACCCTGCCTACCTAGCTGATCTAAGTCAGCAGATGCATCCTCGCCACAGCTCATCTCATCTTGTGCTGCAGCTACAGCCTACATATTTGATGCTACAGCCTGCGCTAGCTCGATTCATTCGGTGCACCCGTCGCTGCAGCTCACCCCGCCAAACAAAGTTAAGCAAGCTGAGCACTGCTGCAGCAGCAGCGTCCGGCAACGCATGCGCAACATATTCTTGCTGAAGTGCAGCGCCTGTCCACACAGTGGCAGTGCAGCCGTCTAAGCACAAGTGCCACGGAGCATGATCGACACCGGCACGAATAATGGGTGGTTGGGTTCCTCTAATCAAATGCCACCACTGCATTGTATATTGTTTGACAGCTGGATACGCCGGCAAGGCAGGTGTTCCAGTTGCAGCACCCTGCAGCACCAGGCACACACGCACAAAAACACACACAGCGGAAAATCCCCCAGTGTGTGCTGCCAGGTGCGACACGGCGCACGGCGGCAGTGATGCACCAAAACCATCCACACGACAGCACAGCTGATGTGCAGCGGTCATCCCACAAGCATTCAAAGGCTGCTCTGTGTGTGTGTGGTGACGGACCTCGCTGCCCTACAATATCTCAAATTGCACCAACAAGGCTTCATTGCAACAGTCAAAGGGTGGCAAACCCTAGTGCTGCTGCCACTGACGTTCACTTCCCCACTCATTTGATGGTCAGGATCGGCAGATGAAGTGTGGCCGAGGAACCACGACTGAGCCGGCATTGCCCTTCACATCACCTCACATCACAACTCTACTGCTGCTGCCGACACACAAAGCTTGCTGTTGCTGTTGGCCCCGTGGCGCAGTGCCAGCACAGCACGAGGCCACAGCACTCACTTCCAGAACATGCGTTTGCAGGATATGCATGTGCAGTACATTCACCACATCAGCTTCACTCGCCTTCTGGTTGCGAACACATCAGGTGGTGACTGGCCCTCTACCACTTCAGTGCAAGTCATCCTTGGGTTGTTCAACTTGAACTTCTTTGGCAGGACGGTTGCTCAGCTGCGGGTTGTCAGTGCCTGATCGTCCAGCAGTATCATCATCAGCAGCATCATGTTGCCCAATCAAGCCGTGGCAGCAACGCCGACGGCCCCACGCCCTCCCTGGGGTTTAGGGTCTACGTCCTCCCTGGGGTTTAGGGTCTGCGTCCTCCCTGGGGTTTAGGGTCCTGTACAGTCCAGCATGTCACCGCATCAGCTTGCTCTTCCTTGAGGCAGCTGGTGCTGACCTCACCACCGTGAACCTGCCGCGAATGGGCACCTGGAAGCGACAGAGGAGCAGCAGCAGCAGCAGGTGAACAGCAGCAGCAGCAGCAGCAGCAGCAGCAGCAGCAGAAGCAGCAGCAGCGTCTTCACGAATAGCCTGCCATCCACTTACGGTCAGAGCTCGCTGGAACAGCAGGATGCGCCGCAAAACCAGCGACCCGATCTTCTCAGTGCTCACAGCTACAGGACCCAGGTGGCCACACCCAGCATCCTCCGGGACCCAGCTACCCAGCACTTGAAAGCTACCAGACCCTCCCACACCCAGCAACCACAGCGTACCAGTACTCCAAGCCACCAAGCTAGGACATGTTCAGGTGACTGCAACATGCCATGTCGTAAAAAACACGCCAGCCTACCTTCACCATGATGGGTGCTGGCATTGTTTCTTGATCACCAGCAGCAATGGGGGCCTCCAGGTAGGCAGTGAGCCGGTACGTCTTGCCAACCGCCACCTGCAGTCGACATCAAAATAACAGCATAATTAACAGCAAATGTAACACTGTCATGAGTGACAACAAAATGTCAGCAGTTGTTCTATATCGTGGCAGGTGACAGTGGCCAGGTGCCGCAGCTGCCTCAGCGCCAGTGCTGCTGCTACTGAAAGCTCGCTGCAGCACCACATCCCGGAATGTCACCGACCACCGTTTCAAAGAACCAAACATCATGGGTCGCCGCCAGCTGCCTGTGCTTTGACAAAAGGCAGCACCATCTCACCGGGTTTTTTTTAGTTAAGGGTTTATTCTATGAGGTTTCCCCCCTCAATGAGCCTCTCGTTGGCTCCTGAATGGGGTTCCCACTCCTTGTTGCGTGGAGCATGTAATGTAATGTAATGTAATGTTTAAGGGTTGGGTTTTTTTTTGGGATTTTTTGCAGCTCACCGATGTTGCCACGCTGCTTGCTTCCGGCTCGCCAGCTGGCCTATACATGCCCTGCCAGCTCAAGCAGTAGCTGTACACCGCCAGGATGGCCGGCGACTCAGCGCCAGTGCCGCTGCTGCTGGGGTCGTAGGCAGGGGCTCGGCTGAACACGGGGGTGTTGATGGGGGGCAGGTGGCCCAGCAGCCTGCCTTGGTCGTCCAGCAGCTCCAGGTCGATCCTGCAAAAGCAGCAGCAGCAGCAGCAGCAGCAGCAGCAGCAGCAGCAGCAGCGGCAGTGGTGATGTAGGTGCAGTGTCTCAAACACAGGGTTTAGGCAGAAAGGGGAGCTGGTAGCCGAGCAGCCTGCCTTCTTAATTGACCAGCAGCTCCAGGTCAATCCCACAGCAGCAGCAGCAGCAGCAGCAGCAGCAGCAGCAGCAGCAGCAGCAGCAGCAGCAGCAGGTGCCGTGCGGGTTCAGGTCTCACTCACAAAGGCGGCACAGCGCACGCCGTATTTATAATTTTTAAGCATTAAGATATAGAAATAATTATATAATCTTTATGATAGCTTTTTTTTAATATTTATACGAAGAATTTTGTTTATTTTTTAGAAGCAGCCACGAGCCAGCCCAGCTCACTTTTTGACGGGCAGCTGCGGGGACAGCGTAACCCGCAGGTCGCACGGCCGCCGCCGCAGGTGGTTAAGGGGGATGCGTATCGCTTCGCTCGTCCAGTAGTCTGCGGTGTTGACCTTGCAGTTGTTGACGTCGTACGCGATGTCCATCGCATACTCCGGGTAGTTGACGTTCACCGAAGTCTCTGCAGCAGCGGCAGCAGCAGCAGCAGCAGCAGCAGCAGCAGCAGCAGCAGCAGCAGCAGAGTAGTACAGGATTGAACCTGCCTCAGGCACTAATAAGAAACAACAGCAGCGGCGGCGAGTGTGACAGTGTGCTGTGTGTGTACACTTTCGGCTGTTGTCAACGTACGCACTGCCCATAACATGCTGGGGTTGTGCACAGGCACATGTTTGGCGACCCCCTCTGCAGGGCGGCAGCAACAGCAGCAGCATGACGCATGCCTAGTGCAATGAATGACCTTCAAGGTTGGAGTCACGGTCTGCTGGGCCAGTGCCTGAGGCAGTAGTTGATCTTGGGCGTGTCATTTTCTTTTGAATATATATGGGCATCAGCTGCGTCATGTCAGGTGAGCGCCCTTGTGCAACTACACCTGCGGCTGCCGTACCTACGCGCCACGAACAGCTGAGTGGCCTGGGAAGCAGCGATCCTCGCCTGCAGGCTCAATTTCAGTTGCTTTTTCAGCCCAACCACGGGCGGTTGGACCAGGGTTCGAACCTAAGTCTCCAGCACACAATGCGGGCGTGCTGCCATCACCCTATTTCAACCAGTCAAGCTCACCTGCAGGCGCGTAGCACAGCCCAGGCGCAAGTGGGTCCAGGAATGAGTCGCTGTCGGGCATCAGCGGGAGCGTGCTGTAGTTTGCGCTCACGCCCTGGTAAGGGATAACAAGCGCCCTGGGGGTCGGCACTGGGCTGTCACTGTGGTCAAACTTCCACACATTTGACCAGCGCATCTCAGGCTTCCAGATGGCTAGTGTTGCTGAAGGGGCAGCTGTCGCTGCACCTGCTGCTGCTGCTGCTGCTGCTGCTGCTGCTGCTGTTGCTGTGACATTGACAGTTGGGGGAGAGCTTGCAGCTGGCTGGGGTGCTGCTGCTGCTGCTGCTGCTGCTGCTGCTGCTGCTGCTGGGGTTGCTGCTGCTGCTGCTGCTGCTGCTGTGAACTTCACAGTCGAGGTAGTGTTTGCAGCTGGCTGGGTGGTTGCTGCTGCTGCTGCTGCTGCTGCTGGGGGTGCTGCTGCTGCTGCTGCTGTTGCTGCAAAGTTCACAGTCAAGGTAGTGTTTGCAGCTGGCTGGGAAGCGGCTGTTGCTGCTGAGCGTGCTGGGGGTGCTACAGCTACCGCTGGAAGTGCTGCTTCTGCCGCTGGTGACGGGGATGGTGCTGCAAGTGTATTGAAATTTGATTGAGTCACTCCTGCCGAAGGTGCTCCCGTTGATGCAGCAACCATATCTTCCCCTGCTGCTGCTGCTGCTGCAGGTGCTCCAGGTTCTGGCACCATTACAGCTGGTGATGGGCTGGCTGCCTTGCCCGCACCAGCCAAAATAGCTGCAGCCGCCGCAGCCTCTGCAGCCATAGAACTGTTGTTCACCACCCCGCTGCTCTTCAACCCGCGCTGGCTTAGTGCTGCTGCTGCTGCTACTGCTGCTGCCGTGTCCAGCGTACTGCTAGGCACTGCACCTGCAGCGCTTGGCACAACAAGCTTGCCACGGACGGGCCCCCTAGGCTGCAGCCTCCTTGAGGCACCGTACTGCTGCGGCTGTACTGGCCTGCCCCTGCGGAGCCTACTGCTGAGACTTCCGGGAAGAGCGCCAACCCACCAGTCTGCGGTTAGATCGCTGCTGCTGCTGCTGCTGCTGTTGTTGCTGCTGCTGCCACCATGTGGCTCGGCAGCATAGCTTGCAGGTTGATCCGCAGGATGCTCCACACCAGGAGCACCTACCACAGCAGCAAGTGGTTGTTCAACAGCCTGACCTTCAGTGCTAAGATTTCCTGCGAGTGGCGGCTGCACACTGCCCGCCGGTGGTGGCTGCAAATCTTTTGCAAGTGGCGGCTGCACACTTCCTGCCTGTGATGGCTGCACACTTCCTGCTTGTGGCGGCTGCAAACCCCCTGCGACGGGCGGCTGCACACTTCCTGCTTGTGGCGGCTGCAATTCTCCTGCGAGCGGCTGCTGCACACCTCCTGCTTGTGGTGGCTGCAACTCTCTTGCCATCGGTTGCTGCACACTTCCTGCTTGTGGCGGTTCCACATCTCCTGCTTGTGGCGGCTGCAACTCTTCTGCAAGCGGCGGTTGCGCACTTGCTGCTTGTGGCGGCTGCAACTCTTCTGCAAGCGGCGGCTGCACGCTTCCTGCTTGTGGCGGCTGCAACTCCCCTGCAAGCGGCGGCTGCGCACTTCCTGCTTGTGGCGGCTGCAACTCCCATGCAAGCGGCGGCTGCGCACTGCCTGCTTGTGGCGGCTGCAACTCCCATGCAAGCGGTGGCTGCACACTTCCTGCTTGTGGTGGCTGCAACTCTCCTGCAAGCGGCGGCTGCACACTTCCTGCTTGTGGTGGCTGCAATTCTCCTGCAAGCAGCGGCTGCCCGCTTCCTGCCTGTGGCGGCTGCAACTCTCCTGCAAACGGCGGCTGCACACTTCCTGCTTGTGGTGGCTGCAAATCTCCTGCAAGCGGCGGCTGCCCGCTTCCTGCCTGTGGCGGCTGCAACTCCCCTGCAAGCGGCGGCTGCGCACTTCCTGCTTGTGGCGGCTGCACATCCCCTGCAAGCGGCGGCTGCACACTTCCTGCTTGTGGCGGCTGCAAATCTCCTGCAAGCGGCGGCTGCACGCTTCCTGCCTGTGGCGGCTGCAACTCCCCTGCAAGCGGTGGCTGCACGTCTCCTGCTTGTGGCGGCTGCAATCCTCCGACAAGCGGCTGCTGCTCCATGCCTGTCTCATTGCCGCTGCCCGCTACCATATCCTGCAAGCTGTCGTCAATTGGCACCACTTGTGAAGCGGTTGACGCATCATCAACTGCCACAGCAGCACTGCTACTGCCGTACTGCCTGGAAATCAGCTGTAGCACTGATGCATCCATTGGGGTGTTCAGGACTGGCTTCAGGTCGATATACCCAGAGTAGAGCCACGGCATGCTTCTGGCCATGGCCGGCAGGCTGTATGTGAGCTGCGACAGTGGCAGAAGAAGCAGGCCCGGCAGCGGCACGGAATTGCTTAGGCTTGTGCAAATGGACCAAACTGATCAACAAAACGGATAATGAGGAGCGCATGTTATGCCTGACATGGCAGGTAGTGAGGTAATTAGCGCTCAGGCACCCCGCAAGCAGGTATGAGAAAGACATCCAGGCCATGGTAGCTCAGAGCCCAGTTTTAGTAGTACATGCCTCCTGCCAACGCTGTCTACACGGTAAGCCGTGGCATGTTGCTCCTGGTTGCCTGCTACTTCAGATCAGTCTTGCAAGCTGATGTTGGCTGGAAACCTCATGGGTGGTTGCCGATGCATACAACACAGCAAGCACAGGCATTGCTCCGAGTTTGTGTCAGGCAGCTGATGGCAGCATTGCTGATGTTCAGTCAATGCCATGGTGCCGAAAGATGGAGGGCAGCACAGGAGGTGGAATCAGCCGTGGCGTGCAGCCTGTCACGTGTCTGGTTTTGGAGCGCACCTTGATTGTCGCATTGCCGCCAGGCGGCAGGGTCACCACTCGTGGCTCCACGATCACGTCCGCGCCCAGCCCAGCCCTGAGCATCGTCGGCATGGCACCCCATTCGTTTGTAATCCTGACCGCCATGGCGCGCCGGTGCGACACCACGTAGCTGAACGTCCGCTGCTCGACGCTGCCCGGCCCGTCCTGACCGAGCGTGTTACGCAACGTAACGGTGACCGTGTGGTTTGCCTGCAAGTTGCTCGGCAGGCTGATGTAGGTGGGGTTGATCTCAATGGGGTTGAAGTACGCTGCCGCAAAGTTGATGAGGCCGGCGCCGGCCTTGGGCACTGCTGTGGGCACTGTTTTGTGGTAGTCTGAGGTGATTGGCGTCGCCGTCGATATGAGGGCGGGCAGCATGGTGGTGTGGTTGATGCCCCGGCTGACCAGCGGGGACTGCCACTCCCGCGCTAGCCTGCAGGTTTTGAACGGAGGTGAAGGGCACGCAAACAATGGCCGGTTGATGTACGATGCCACCTCAGGTGGTGACTGCGTCTCAACATTAGCTATTCCTGTTCTTATTCCTGTTCCTGGAAAAACACAGAGCTGAATCAGCGAGCCACCCTCGACTTGTGCGGCTCGACAAGTTGGTGGGGTTGCAAGGAACGTCGGCGTCAGAGCGACACCGCATGGCAGCAGCCGCTGCTGCTGCCGCATTTGTTGGCCAACTTGGCCACTTGACGTGGCAAGCATGCTGTAAATACACGCAAGCTGACGGATTCAGGAGTGGCCAGACCCTGCACAATCTTGCATCTGAACACAGGTTGTTTGCCAAGTGACAAGCATTTCATGCATCCTGCTGGCCAGGGCAATGGCTAGACGCTGCGCCATCTTGCAGCTTGGCATCTGAACACAGGTTGTTGGCCAAGTGGAAGCATGCTGTCATGCCATGCATCCTGCCTGCTAGGGGAGTGGTGCCCCCGGTTGAAGAAAATACTCTAAGAAAATGTTGAAGATAACGTGACTGGACCCCAGGCAAGCATGCAGCTTGGCATCTGAACACACAAGGAGCCAGCGTGTTGGGTCCACACACACATGTCAGCTGGCGACCGTTGTGTTTGACAATGTGCAGCTGACGTCATACGTCACGCAAAACCCTGCCGCACCTCAAAGCCCCCTGCAGGGCATTGCCGCTATATAGGCTCTGTCCGTCCTTGACACTGTGGTGCAGCTGACGTCACACCCGAAGCAGAACCCTGCCGCACCTCAAAACCCCCTGCAGGTCACTACCCTGTCAGCTGCTTCGGCGGCAATGCCTAAATAGGCATGTGTAGGCATTGCCGCTGCAGCAGATACACCGTCCCGCCTTTCACCGCGGTGCGTGACCAGAACACAAACATGACGTATCACAGCAGCTGTAGCTGTTCGAAAGCCCTAAGCTGTTGGCCAAATCCCTGAACCCTAGGTCCCTGGCTTTAAACCCTACCTGAAAGGCCCCTGCGAGCGCTCCTCCCTGTCGCGCTCCAGCTGCAGCAGCAGCGCCAGTCCCCCGCTTGTGTAGGGCGTGGCATGGCTGGTGCCCGACATGACCGTGTAGCCATTGCCAACTGATGCCGCAGTAGTAGTGAGCACGTTTGACCCCGGCGATGCGACATGCGGCAGCAGGTTGAGGTTGGCGTCCTGCAGGCAAAAAAGAAAAAAAAGAGCAGGTACATGTCAGGTTGCAGGTGGCAGTGTACATCCCGCCGTTGTTGGTAAATGCAGATGTGCTGTGGAGCCCCGTGAATGCTACCTGGGGCAGCTTGTGCAGATTGACATCCTGCAGACAACGCGCGGCAAAAGCAGGGGCACAGCTCAGTCGCAAAGGTGGCAGTGTGCATGCGGGTGTGGTGAGCACGTCTGAGCCTGGCGATGCTACATGCGGCAGCAGGTTGAGGTTGGCGTCCTGGCAGCAAACGCAACACGTGCAGAAGTGCAGGTCAGTACCAAGGCGGCAGTGTACGTGTGGCCGTGGCGGACCAGCGCAGGGATGCTGCTGCTGAGCACGCTGATGGCAGCGGAGCCTACCTGTACATCCATTCCTGCACCAGCTCTATAGCCACAGCGATGGAGCCGGCGTAGGTATCTGCC